ATATAGATATTTAGCAATTAGATTGGTGGTTTCTTTTGATTTTTTTTGGTTTACATAATGAATTATGTAAAAAGGGGGAATTGATAATCAAAAGTTATTTTCATGGGCTTAGTTGGGGGTTTGCTGTCTTGTCTTGATTTAAGAGTTAGGTAAGGGGGTAAGCAGGATCTGCCAAGCAGGCAGACACGAGTCTGACATATGCGCAGTAACAGTGTTGAGCCCATGAGAGAATAATCACATGTCTGTCTGATCCAATCCTTTTTTTGTCTGCTTGCATTGGCACATGTCAACAAGCTACTTTATTGCATCATCCTGGTAGAATCATACTTTTCAGTCCGAGAGGGCAACATGAGAATTACATTATGCCAGCATCAATTCTCGACTTTATTTTAATTTGATTTAAACTCACTGCCCCCATGCTAATCACATGTTTAGCTCTGTATCCAGCAAAAAGCCAGAATGATACCGCATTGTAATCTACCGGGTTTATGAATACCAAGGGACCAGAACGTGTTGCTGGCAAATGTTCAGCTGACAAATGAACAAATGTTAGGACGTTTTTTCTGTTTTCCAGCGTTACACAGTTTGTAACAGTTTACAGTCGGGTGAAACGTTTGAGACCAGCCGGTCTGCAGCAGAACTTGAGTTTAGAGGGAAAAAGGTCGAAGTGGAATGTGGAAACTGACTCTGACTCATGGCCAGAGACATGCAACACATTTTTATCAGCTGACTGATAATCAAAAGTTATTTTTCATGGGCTTAGTTGGGGGTTTGCTGTCTTGTCTTGATTTAAGAGTTAGGTAAGGGGGTAAGCAGGATCTGCCAAGCAGGCAGACACGAGTCTGACAGGATGGGGAGTCAGTTTATGTCCTGGCTGAGGAATGTAAGGTCTGCGGGTCAACTAGAAGATTTACCAGCCAAAGGGGGGTTAGAGACACACCAACACTATTCAACATACACACTCTGTTTACGATGTTTACGTTAAGTCAGGAGTCTGGACATTGGATGTGACCGGATCTTAGATGCGGGAGGTGGAAGGTCCTCCTCTACGCCAGTTTAGGGCCAATAGAAATATTTCCTTCTCTGTCTTTTCGGGTTATAAAACATGATGTTCTTGCTGATGTTAGTTAGTTGTTCTTCCGGCCTGTGTGCTGCCTGAACTGCTCCTGCCTTTGCAAACGCAGCGCTGATACTTGACCTGTGATCTGACAAATAAATTTTCCAGAACGAGAGAAGTCATTCGGCTGAATTTTTGATAACCCCGACCAGGCTCCAAATCTTGAACACGTATTCTTACAATTTGGTGACCCCGACGTGATTTGCTGACCTGGACAAAGAAAGACGGGGACGTCCGTTTTCCGGACCGAGCTGAAAGGACCGGCGGCGTGGTTCAGCATTGACAACAGGCGCCCAAAACAGAATCAGGTGAGCAGACAACCTTTTGTTCTAAATGAATAAAATGTCTGTGATTGGATACTTCTAAAAAGATTTGTTGTCAACTGCAGAATTCGTCTCTGTCCATTGACTGAATAAGGTCGTCATAAGACCACTAAATTTAAAACTAAATTTGAAAATTTCCTGTTGATCACATGTAAAGTATAAGCACATACTCACACTGAATTCAACGTTAGGGAAAGTGAATAAGTGTCCATAGGTTTAGGGATTTAGGTAAAAATATATATAATCTTAGTCGGTAGAAATCCAAGTTGCAATCCGTGTGGTACGTAGATACCTCTGGTAACTGCAGTCCCACGTTTGCATGCAGTGGACTGGCAGTTTAGAATAGTGTAGGGATTTAGGTTTAGGGACTTAGGTAAATATATGAAGAGTTTAAAAAGGAATGACGGGGCTCACTTGAGTTCCCTGAGGTCGACTCTTAGTCTGTAGAAATCCAAGTTGCAATCCGTGTGGTACGTAGATACCTCTGGTAACTGCAGTCCCACGTTTGCATGCAGTGGACTGGCAGTTTAGAACAGTGTAGGGGTTTAGGTTTAGGTTTAGGGACTTAGGTAAATATATGAAGAGTTTAAAAAGGAATGACGGGGCTCACTTGAGTTCCCTGAGGTCGACTCTTAGTCTGTAGAAATCCAAGTTACAATCCGTGTGGTACGTAGATACCTCTGGTGACTGGGGTCCCACGTTTGCATGCAGTGGGCTGGCAGTTTAGAATAGAGCAGGGATTTATGTTAATCTTAGTCTGTAGAAATCCAAGTTGCAATCCGTGTGGTACGTAGATACCTCTGGTCCTGCAGTCCTACTCGTGTGATTCTTGGACTGGCAGGTTAGAATATTAGATGAAGAAATAAGGACACAGGGAAAGATTTGTTGTTTTTCATACTGGGAAATGTGTGGGTGGTTGGTGTAACTCCTGGTGTTTTACCGAACCTGGAAGCTGGGCGTATCAGGACTTGAAAAAGGACTGAGAATCCGACAGTGAAAAGTGTTTGACCGGATTACACATCTGTGGGGATATGTATTAAAGGGTAAAAGGGAAAATCATAGTTAAATGATGGTGGTATAAATACGAGAGAAATAAAACAATACGAGTGAACTGGTGTTATAAGCCTCAACAATCGAGCGCTGTATTCCTCTAATACAGTAGAAGGTTCTTGATTGGGTTCACAGTATTGGGCATTGAGTCCTTTCTCTTGTGTTCAAAAACCACGTGTGAATAAATAAATAACCTGTGATGAAAATGGAGGAAACCATAACGATATGGGAGAGGTGTAAAGAAGGCACTCTGGGTTTCGCCCTATTTAAGACTTATAAGAGACATATGGATAAAACCCTAGAAAAAGATAGGAAATGTGTAACAAAAATATGTGAAGTGGGTTGCACAGATGCAGGAAAGAGGAATGTTTGGAAGGGAGACAGATTCTCAACCAACAGGCGAGCAGCTGCAGGACCATCTTAGGATGGCGAGAAGAGGAAAAGACCAAGCGCATGCGCTCCTTGCCGTTAAGGGGAGATTTTGTGGAAAAGAGAAGAAAAGTGCAGAAAAGGCAGATGAGTTCTTAGTGGACTGTAGAACATTTCTGGGAGAAATAAATGCGGTATTCGTGAGTGAGAATCAAAAGTTATTTTTCATGGGCTTAGTTGGGGGTTTGCTGTCTTGTCTTGATTTAAGAGTTAGGTAAGGGGGTAAGCAGGATCTGCCAAGCAGGCAGACACGAGTCTGACAGGATGGGGAGTCAGTTTATGTCCTGGCTGAGGAATGTAAGGTCTGCGGGTCAACTAGAAGATTTACCAGCCAAAGGGGGGTTAGAGACACACCAACACTATTCAACGTACACACTCTGTTTACGATGTTTACGTTAAGTCAGGAGTCTGGACATTGGATGTGACCGGATCTTAGATGCGGGAGGTGGAAGGTCCTCCTCTACGCCAGTTTAGGGCCAATAGAAATATTTCCTTCTCTGTCTTTTCGGGTTATAAAACATGATGTTCTTGCTGATGTTAGTTAGTTGTTCTTCCGGCCTGTGTGCTGCCTGAACTGCTCCTGCCTTTGCAAACGCAGCGCTGATACTTGACCTGTGATCTGACAAATAAATTTTCCAGAACGAGAGAAGTCATTCGGCTGAATTTTTGATAACCCTGACCAGGCTCCAAATCTTGAACACGTATTCTTACACTAAGAAAGGCGTTATTTCACTGCTAAAGTTTCACCCCGAGTCCCATAAATACGGCGTCTATTCGTCTTTTTAATAGTTTTTACCAGGACAGGAAAGTTGTACTCTGATTGCAGCATTGTTAAAAACTTAAACATATTCACATTGACTTTGATACCATTGGTGAATAGGACGCAAAAGGAAGCACGTGCACACGCTAAGCCCCGCCTTCTTCTTTTTTTATTATTATTATTATAAACAAGGTGGTGGGCCATTTACTGTAGTCACAGCGTCGCTGTAAACGTCAGCAGAACCGAGGTTCAGTGTGGCACAAGGATGTTATTTTTTGGCCTGGCCCAGGACGCAGTCTTATGACAGTCAGCAGGTCTAATCACAGAGAGGGCGTACACAGTTCTCAAGGTGGAACACAGCCAGACACACACAAACCCACACACACGCACACACTGATCCTCATTGCTGGATATACAAGTGTTGATTGTGATACTGGACTTTTGTCAATCTGCATTGTTACGCTTTGCTACGTATTACTACCTCTGTGAAAGTAGTAGTTTTTTCCAGCGACACACTTTGTGGCGCAGACACGCAGCTTTCTATGGTTTGAATTAGGCGTACGGTGAGGCCTTTGACCTCAGGTGGAGTGGGTGTTTATAGAAAGGTGTTCCCTGTCCACTGCCCTCCACTGGTCACTGTGAAAGACTGCAACATCACATGAATCAGACGGCTGAAAAAACGGCTGAAAAAACATCTCTCAAGCTCATCCAGCTCTCACACTACGAGGGGGGAGGATGCAAGAAGCCTTGTTGCGCTGCTCAAATCCTAAAAATAAAAATAATGTAAAAAACGTGTAATTTGTCTTAAAATCCACTTTAAGTCAAACATGTCCGTGGCCTGGTGGTTTTCCTTATTGAGGCTAATTGAGAACACCTATTATTTCCGTCATTTATTTGGATTTAAAAAAATGTTTTAGTTGGTCAGCTGGTGTCAAACTCCATTAAACTTGTAAAAGAACCAACTTCAACAAGGCTAAGAAAGGCGTTATTTCACTGCTAAAGTTTCACCCCGAGTCCCATAAATACGGCGTCTATTCGTCTTTTTAATAGTTTTTACCAGGACAGGAAAGTTGCACTCTGATTGCAGCATTGTTAAAAACTTAAACATATTCACATTGACTTTGATACCATTGGTGAATAGGACGCAAAAGGAAGCACGTGCACACGCTAAGCCCCGCCTTCTTCTTTTTTTATTATTATTATTATAAACAAGGTGGTGGGCCATTTACTGTAGTCACAGCGTCGCTGTAAACGTCAGCAGAACCGAGGTGTGACGTAACGACCTCACCTATCTGACGGACCCCCCACCACCACCACCACCCTCCCCTCCCCCCCCGCAGGGCTGTCACAGAGATGGCATCGATTGCGGCGTCGCCCGAGCCGGGGGTGAGCCCGGTCTCCATGGCGCTGGCCGATGCCTTGGTCCCCGCCAGCATATTCGCTCCGGACCGGGGAGGATGCGGGGACGAAACCGGGGACGAGTGCTACGACGACGGCGACCTGATCAACGGCGAGCTGGAGCACCGCGGGGTGGACTTCACCAACAAGGTAGCGCGAGGCCCCGCGAGGCTTCCGAAGCGTCACCGAACGGACGAGGCCGCGACACACACGCTCGCTCGCGTTTCCTCGCACGCACCGCAGCCATGTTAGTGACCGCGCACACGCCGCACCGTGACCCACGACCCCCCCCCCTTCGCAGGGTCATCCGGGAATGAGACGCGCCCGGTCCCGGTTAGCTAGATGTGGCTAACGCTAGCCCCCAGCTGGAGCGTGAACGCGCCCGCTGTTGTGTTTTAATTTCTCTTTTTTTACCACCGGCTTTCCAGCCAAAGATAATATATCTGGTGACACTAAAAAACGTCTAATTGTGGGCAGTGAAGAATCAGGTGGGAAAGATGGAGAGACGCGTCGGGAAACAGAAGAGACGATTTGTTTGAGGTACAAAGAAACGGATGGGGGGAAGAGGGGGGGACGAGGGGGGGGTGCATGCGCATGGACAAAAAGAGGAGCAACAGGAGAGAGGAAAGGGACTGAATTTCGGTGATCATGGCAACCAAGTCTCCTCCTCCTCCTCCGGAGAGAGGACCTTTGACATTGCCAGGTACCTTCAGAGCCCTAATTACCCCTCTCTCTCTCTCTGACAGACACACACACACACACACACACACACCTGTACATACATAGAGGAACCTGCTTCTCTGACTGACCACATGCATCAAAGCTGCAGACGCGCCGGTGTGCCACTGCTGTCAACAGAAGAAAAGGAAAGGTCACTCTGAATGCTCCCTCAGCCTTTGTCTGGAAGGATCAGAGCATCTCTCCTAAAATCAGCCTCACACACGTTGCCCTCTGTTACATCAGATTAAATAACGGAAATACACACAGACACACGTTTAAAAAAAAAGGTGGCTGGTTGAAAGGACGGGAGGGTGTATCTCTGTGTATCTCTGTGGCATCCCGTGCATGACGGACAGCTGGTCAGCCACAGATTGACAGCATGCCGGATCACAGGAGGGTTTTTTTGTGAAATATCACTTTTTTCTTCACAGTCTTGAGTCAGACCATTGTGGCAAGACCACGCGGTGTCATATGGGTTATTTTAATGGGGTTTATTTCTGTAACCCGGATACTGGTAAAAAATGAATGAAAAGGTCAAATCAATATGGATCCACAGGTTTTTTTTTCAGTGGTCAGACAACTTCTGCATACACACACACAACATTTTGTGTGTGAATTCCGCCCTTCAGATTGTTCGTCATTACATTGTTTTAACCAATGGGTGATCGTTTTTTCCTTCATCCGAGCAAATGTCATTAATACATCAATGGCACCATCTACTGGCTGAAAAGGCTAATTATGTTTGTTTTTTCTTTGGTTTTCGTGATGTACGCAAACCGACGGAACAAGATCTAGACAAATAGCTACAGTCTGATTTCAAAGTCTGCCTTTGTTTGATAAGAGGTGGAATGTTGTCTCCATCCATGTTGATATGGACCGAAACATTATATTCTTCTTCTGAATAATCAGTAATTGTTGTGCATGAATGATCTTAAATGATAGTTTGCACCAATAAAGAAAGATATAGTATTTCTGATGTGCAAGAAAGGTACTCGCTGATGGATGATGTGCTTGTTTAACAAGTTTAAGGAGTCACAAAAGTCACATGTTTATGATATTCATGCTTTAATGGACAAGCATTACACTCAGATATAAACCGGAATGTCTGGGAGGAAAAAACAACAAAGCATGTCAAATTCTTAAGCACCTTAAAGAACCCTGGATGATATATGAAGTACTTCTCAACTAAAACATTGCAAGCTGCAGAGCAAATAACAGTCAGATAACGTGGCCTCGGGCTACATATGCGCAGTAACAGTGTTGAGCCCATGAGAGAATAATCACATGTCTGTCTGATCCAATCCTTTTTTTGTCTGCTTGCATTGGCACATGTCAACAAGCTACTTTATTGCATCATCCTGTTTGTATGATAAACATTAAGGCACTACTGATATCACATAACATTCTAGACCTTAAAAGCGGGGCCTGGGGTCGACCCGACGTTACACTAATTGAAAAAGAAAGAAAGAATGAATTTCAATTCCCCAAAATTCCAGGGTGGCTGCAGGTTTACTTGATCTCAAAGCTGGTGACGCGGACCTCCCCATCGAAGCCGATGCACGAGTACTTCGCTGCGCCCATGCGGTTGGGGAAGTGGATCTTTGAGCCATCGGATAAAGTCACCTGGAACTCCGTCGGGGCGAATTCGATGACGACCTAAGGTGGCGGGATGTGCGAGAAGAAATGAAGAGGAGGGAGAATACTTGAATGAATGAGCGTATCTCTGCCTCATCAAAGTAATGTAGATGAATATCACAAATCTTAAAGTTATCAGACGTTCAGTGACACATTTTCCAACGAAGGTCACTAATAGATTAGAGAGCGTTATAGCACATACCTGCAGACAGATACACACACACACACACACACACAGGAGCTCTCACCTTGAACTCCTCTCCCTGGTGGAACGGAAAGCCTCCCTCGCGGTGCTCCTCACACCAGCTGCCTTTCTGGTAAGAGTTGCAGACCACAGCATTCTCGTCTCCGTGGGCATTGAAGCGAGGGTTGATGTGCATCGTGATCTCCGTCTCATCAGGGCCGATATTGATTGCAAAGCTGTGGCACGAAGAAACAAAAAAATCGCTTGATTTAAATGGCTGCTTGTATTTCATGTGAGAAGACACAAGGAGCCTCTGCGCGGGCCGTCTTCTCATCTGCTAACCGTCATCTTCATCAACCCCGCTTCCCGGAGGTGAAGTTTACAGGTCACCGACCGCAACTGATTACAGGTTCCACCTCCAGATCCGTCGGGCAGTGAGTGCATTGAAGATCGGCCCTCACATTGAGTTTACTCACAGAAGTCAACACAGAAATGAGTACATAAAGTAGTAAGTAGGACGTTTGACTGGGCTCAGTCACTTCTGTCGTCAGGACTTACTTTGTAGCATCAGGCTTGGGGACTCCAACAATGGTCAGGGTCTGTCCGACCTTGAAGGACATGTTCTTTACGATCATACCCTGCGCAAACAAAACGAGGGGAGTTTAGTCACACCGTTAGTTATTGGGTGGAAATACTACTCTATTGTTACTACATCCAAATTGTGTTATAGCTTCGTGCAATAAGCAGCCCCGACAGTAGCTTAAGCCAACGCTCTTATCCCCACTTCATCCTTAGAAATAAACCAACATGTGTTTTCTATTATACTCCCACCAGCCCACAAGCCCAATATTCCAGCTCCTCGTCCTACCGTTGCCATGGCCATTTTCCTCTACGTGGATTTTGGCAGAGGCTAAAAATGTTGAAAAAGGATAGGTTGGACTGAGTAATATTTTCCTAAGTGAAATACTGGACGACAAGTATACACGGTGGAAAAAAAGGCTGAGGCGAGCAGAAAACCTCAGCTCGGGTTGCTGCTGCGGATGTGCAAGAACTGTGCCGAGCCACCAATAGGAAATTGCTTTTGAGCAATCTATTGTGTGATTGGGAAACACGGGTCGCGCCACCATTTGAGATGTGTTCTGGGGGACAGAGATGGCGCTCCTTTGTGGGTTCAAAATGAAAAGCAGAAGTTTATGAAATATTGAATGAAATGATGATTCTGAGCCGAGAAACTTCTGGTCACAAACACAGTAACAGCACAGCAAACATGACACACATTTCTTTTGCCGCTGTAAAAGCGCCAAACTGTGTTTGAATGATGAACCAAACCACGAAATGAACAGGAGGGTGAAGGGATCCAATGACGCGGGTTAGACGTTCCTCCCGTGTTAGAGACGGGGTATAATAAATGGCACCGGGGCTTGAGCCGCGTGGGGCCGGGCCGAGGTCAAAGCTGGCAGTCGGCCTGCGTCGCTCCCAAACAGCTGTCTAAAGGAATCTGAGTGTTGCATCCCATTAAGGAATGACAATTCGTTTCACCTCGGACTGGCACAGTGATTGAATCTAACACAAGTGAGTGTGTCCAAAAAACACACATCCAGAAATAAGGTCATTATGAATGATTCAAATCCTGCTAATATTATATGATGATTAATAATTGAAATAGACCTTTTCAGTCTAAGAGACACTCTGGTAGAATCATGCTTTTCAGTCCGAGAGGGCAACATGAGAATTACATTATGCCAGCATCAATTCTCGACTTTATTTTAATTTGATTTAAACTCACTGCCCCCATTCTAATCACATGTTTAGCTCTGTATCCAGCAAAAAGCCAGAATGATACCGCATTGTAATCTACCGGGTTTATAAATACCAAGGGACCAGAACGTGTTGCTGGCAAATGTTCAGCTGACAAATGAACAAATGTTAGGACGTTTTTTCTGTTTTCCAGCGTTACACACGTATTGCAGGAAGAATGTACCAACCTAAACAGCTGACTTACATTAAATGCATTTGCTGATTGCACGAGGTGACTAATGTGAACGCATGTGCGCTCTGTTAAGAATACTTTGACCATAAAAGGCAAATCTAAGAAGCCCAGAACTCTCAAAAGAAAAAAAGCAGCTATTAAAAAGTGCAATGTGCCGGTTTAAAGCAGAGGTCAGCTGTTTCAGTGCCACTATTAAAATAGAAGCTTTTTGCTATCTGAGTGAGGAGATTAGTTAGTGACAGCAGAGCACAGGAGCACAACAGTGTTGTCAGAGTTTCACTTACGTTCATCATTTTTGCAGATGTAGTCACTCGCGTCGGGTGGAGAAGAAGTGAGAGTGGTGCAGGGCCTTGACTCACTGCAGCCAAGCGGGATATATACAGTGTGGGAGGTTCTTCGGCCTGAGCGACGAGCCAAACAGCGAGCAGAATCAGGCCACCAGAAAACATCGGCCAATGACGTCGAAGCGTCGTTAAAATCCATAAATAACTGTTTCGGAGCTTGACAAGTGATTGCAGACCTCAGTGAAGGGAGGTTAATTAGTGATCGGGTGATATCAGACTATTACATTGTAACCTGGTGGTGTGGAGTTTGACTGTGAGAGGGGAAACTAGAGTGACAGATAAAAATAGAAACGCATGTGTTGCTAGGGAGACGACTAAATATTTGGCACAGTGAATCGCCTTTGCTGTTAACAGTTTACAGTCGGGTGATACGTTTGAGACCAGCCGGTCTGCAGCAGAACTTGAGTTTAGAGGGAAAGAGGTCGAAGTGAAATGTGGAAACTGACTCTGACTCGTGGCCAGAGACATGCAACACATTTTTATCAGCTGACATACGAGTGTTACTCTGCTGCTGCTGTGACCCAGTGAGGGAACGAGCCACGTACGCTGCAGTTTGATACCCTATCATGTCATTTAGATTCAAGACAACCAACAGACATATCAAAGTTACTCATTAGACTTGATGCTTGATTTAACGGTGGGTCTCTTTAGGTACATTATGAAGCTATCCCGGGGAAGTGGCTACACAGATGTTCAGTGTGGCACAAGGATGTTATTTTTTGGCCTGCCCCAGGACGCAGTCTTAAGACAGTCAGCAGGTCTAATCACAGAGAGGGCGTACACAGTTAACAAGGAGGAACACAGCCAGACACACACAAACCCACACACACGCACACACTGATCCTCATTGCTGGATATAAAAGTGTTGATCGTGATACTGGACTAATGTCAATCTGCATTGTTACGCTTTGCTACGTATTACTACCTCTGTGAAAGTAGTAGTTTTTTCCAGCGACACACTTTGTGGCGCAGACACGCAGCTTTCTATGGTTTGAATTATGCGTACGGTGAGGCCTTTGACCTCAGGTGGAGTGGGTGTTTATAGAAAGGTGTTCCCTGTCCACTGCCCTCCACTGGTCACTGTGAAAGACTGCAACATCACATGAATCAGACGGCTGAAAAAACGGCTGAAAAAACATCTCTCAAGCTCATCCAGCTCTCACACTACGAGGGGGGAGGATGCAAGAAGCCTTGTTGCGCTGCTCAAATCCTAAAAATAAAAATAATGTAAAAAACGTGTAATTTGTCTTAAAATCCACTTTAAGTCAAACATGTCCGTGGCCTGGTGGTTTTCCTTATTGAGGCTAATTGAGAACACCTATTATTTCCGTCATTTATTTGGATTTTAAAAAATGTTTTAGTTGGTCAGCTGGTGTCAAACTCCATTAAACTTGTATAAGTACCAACTTCAACAAGGCTAAGAAAGGCGTTATTTCACTGCTAAAGAAAATAAATGAACGATAATGTTTCACCCCGAGTCCCATAAATACGGCGTCTATTCGTCTTTTTAATAGTTTTTACCAGGACAGGAAAGTTGCACTCTGATTGCAGCATTGTTAAAAACTTAAACATATTCACATTGACTTTGATACCATTGGTGAATAGGACGCAAAAGGAAGCACGTGCACACGCTAAGCCCCGCCTTCTTTTTTTATTATTATTATTATAAACAAGGTGGTGGGCTATTTACTGTATTCACAGCGTCGCTGTAAACGTCAGCAGAACCGAGGTGTGACGTAACGACCTCACCTATCTGACGGACCCCCCCCCCCCCCCCCCACCACCACCACCCTCCCCTCCCCCCCCGCCGGGTTGTCACAGAGATGGCATCGATTGCGGCGTCGCCCGAGCCGGGGGTGACCGCCGGTCTCCATGGCGCTGGCCGATGCCTT